GTGGCTTCACCAGTCTGCATTCCCACCAGCAGTGGAGAAGATTTCCTATTTCTCCACAGCCTCGCCAGCATTTGTTATTGGTTGATTTCTTGATGATAACCATTCTTACTGGGGTGAGATGAAATCTCAATGTTGTTTTAATTTGCATTTCTCAAATGACTAATGATGTTGAACATTTTCTCATGTATTTATTTGCCACTTGTATTTCTTTATCTGAGAACTGACTTTAAAGTGCCAAGCTAAGAGTCCATCTGAACAAACTTCCCTTCCAAACCTGAAGGACTCATTTATGCAAAGGAATGTTAACTTCTTCCCTGGTGACACGTTTTCATCACTCACATTTCTTTTGTTGCTATGAAGTTAGATTTACCTGATAACCTCACTCCTAGGCTATGACCTCATCAACCTTTACTTTCTTTGTTTGGCTGGGTTTAATGAGTGGCATAGCACTCTAGCACTCTGTCAAAGCAAAATGTTTTCTGTGGGATTAATATTTTGACTATTATTTGAAGAGTTGCTGTCATAGATTAGAAGAAATGTGTATACTTTGGGGATTGCAGATCTGTTCAACTAAATAATGCATTTTTTCCCTTATAGTGGCTTAAGATGAATACCCTGATGCTAACTCAATTCCCGCCTTCCATCTATTACCATCAGAACTGGCTTTAGCTTCCTCTCTAATACTATTTAAGTTTACAAAACAACTTTTAAAATATCTTAGATTCATTTCATACAACATGGTATTTTATTTCTCTATGAGAAATCATGTCAGTGAAAACTGGAAAAGAAGAATAAGCTGGAGAAACTGTAGAATTTTCATAAGAGAATGAGAGTTTTTTTAGATTTCTAGCTCTAGAGGCATATTGTTTGTTAAGAAGAAGCAAAAGCAAGCAAGGTCTACCTTATTAAGGATGACATATTTATTAATAAAGGACAATGGTGCTGCTTCAAGGTGTTACCAAATACTAGCTGTTCCTCTTTTTTTGGACTGGTAGACCAAAACCTGGCTCATGTTTTTCTGCTCTCTGTCTAAGGGGAGGTGTTCTGGAAGAAGGACTTTTAACCCAGGAGCTGAACTGATTAAAAAGATCGATGAAAAACTGGTAGACTGTTTAGGGACATAGCAGGTAGACAAAAGTGATACAGTCGTAATGTTAGACAGAAGGTCATTAGGCTACAGACAGGTGGTTGGGGGCCTCTTACAAAGGAAAGAAGATATATTTTTTTCTTAACTTTTTGAATAATTGACTATAGGTAAGACCCTGAAAAAAGTTTTAAACTTTAGCTCAAGGAAAATATAATATCTTGATACTGTGCTGATTAGATTCAGAGCCCATGTAAAATTCAGACGGTTGGTAAAGTGTTGGAAAAACCTCAAGATCTCAAAACAAACTAAATAGAGACATCCACCTAAAAAGTAAACTGGGAGTGACTTAGCTCTGAAGTAAGTAAACACTTGTAGAAGGACAACAACATAGTCAGGGATCATTGTAGGGATGGGGAAAGAGGCAGAATCCCAGGCACTTACCTGCTGCCCATTAAAAACATGATTTGTATTTTCTGCTGGGACAGCTGGGGATTTAGCTATTTTTGCTATAAACTTTAACTCTTCACTAGGGACAATAACTAAAAGTAGAATAAAGTTTTACCTTCATTTTGTGTCCTTTGTTGCTATAAAACTTGGGTCAAATCTCTCTTCAGCTTATAGATATCATTTTAGGGATATAGATATCATTTAGGGAGTTTCTGTGTGAAAATTGGCAAATCAAGGTTAAGTAGCCCAGAATTTACATAATCTCACCCCTTTCAAGATTGAAGATGCCAGAATAAATGATTTCCAGGGATATTCAACTATGCTTGAGATGTCTCCAGCTGTTGTCAATGAACCTGCTTGTCCTGAAGCTGCAGTCACCTGGGAACAAAACCTCTCCCTAGCCATAAAAGATTCCAAAACTATGGCACGTGGACTGAGATTACTTTGACACCAGGACTGTGATAATGATCAACTGAACCCCAGCTCACTGCTAATCCTTAAACGCTGGCCTCCCACTTTTGTGGGTGGGCCAGTCTGAACTTCCATATTAGGGTATTCCGTGAGCTGAGTCCCTTTCCTATATTCCCTGTAATTTTCCAGTTAAGCTATTTTTCTGTAAAGTTATGCTTTAGTTTCAGATCCTACTACTAAAAGCAAGGACTCATGCTAGTAGGACATCACACACAAAAACGTTGTTACCAGAAAACAAAAAAAAGTTGTTACCAGAATACTGTGGCTGCTAAATCAAAGGGGGGAATAGTGCATAAACTATGAAACCAATAAACTAAGAGACAGATTTTTTTCCTGGTTCTATTTTCTTAGCTTCTGACTTGTTCATTTCTGTTAACAAGAATGTGTTTAGGGCTGTGTTAGTGACTTCTCATATTTAATTTCCTCATCTCTTAAGGAGGTATAAGAATTCTATCTACTTCACAGGGCTACCATGAGGACCTGATAGGACAGTGGATATGGAAGTGCTGTGTTAATGATGAAGGTGCTGACATTTCAATAGTCACATAAATTATACAAGTTACATGTGAAAATAGTGGAGCTGAGTATGTAACATATTTCATGGGCACATTTGGGACCAAAATTCTGAAAGGGCTTGTAATATGTGCCAGGGCTTGTTAGGTAGATAGTTAAAAACTAGTGGACCTGAGGGACAGAGTGTGTATATGAGTGTCAGGGACATCAAAAATAGCATGCATTGTTAGTTAAATGAAGAAACAAACAGTTCGTTGTGTAATACATGCATAATCATTTGTTAGGTCTCAAACCCAAAGCCATCACACAGAGCCCAAGGACATTTTAAAGTTGTACATTGCGCACAGTCCTTCTGATACCTGGCCGCTTTGCCATCTTCTTCCAGAACAAGTCACACAGCATTCCTGACTGCCACAGACTAGAGCCCAATGCATTCAACAAAGGAATTGTCCTTTGAAGACCCTTCTGTCTTGGTCTGGGATCTGTTTTAAACTAAGGACTTATCATTTCTAAGTTTCTTACATGAGTAAAGCCCCTGAGGAACCACTGAACATTTATAAAGGATAGGAAGACATTTTGCAATTCCAAAGTAATTTGTAAGTAAAATGTTGATAAGCACCATAGTTCCCTGAACCTCAGGAGTAACTTTTGTTTGTCTAAAAAGTATCCAGATTTCGACATGGTACAAATGCCTTTGTGGTACTGTCCACCTTCTCTCTTGAAAGAGTAACTCTGTATCTACTTGACAGTAAATTCTACCAATACAGTACTTCTGCGTGACTTCCTTATGTGTCTTGACTGAATTCTTTCATCAGAGACATAAAGGACTGAGGACCAAGGACGTGTTGGGCTAGGTTCTTCACTGCATCAGGACCTGGCTTTGCAATGACAGGCTAATCAAAATATACAGAGAATGCTTAAATTAGAAAAAATTTACTATAGTAAAAGAGACATTGCCATTAATCTCTCTCAAAATACCTGACCTTCAGTTCAAACACACTCATACTGTTGCTCTTGCCACCTTCTAAAGCACTTTTGGAAATTCTCTTTCTTGAGTATCATTTGTTATACTCTTGTAGCTGCCTTGATATCCTGAATAGATTAAAAATGTTTCCCTTTCATAGTCATTTTGACTTTGGGGAAGAGCTAGAAGTCACACAGTGCCAGGTCTGGTGGATAAGATGGAGTGAGGACACACTACACTGTTTATGTCATCCTGCCTTTGTGTTAGATGACATTTAGCATCAACGTTCACCATATTTTTGATCATACCTGATAAGGTCACTCACAAAAGACTTCCACAGCTTCTCAGAGAGTGGCAAGAAGATAAGTGCATTTAAAGTGAGGGGAATATTTTGAGGTAGGTGAATGGCAATGTGTCTTTTACTGTAATAGATTTTTTAAAAATATTCACTGTGTATTTTGGTCATCCCTTGTATCTTTCATTCCACAAATCCAGATATCTATATTTGTGACATTGTTTGGTAGCAGATTATGGTTCAGCCTAATTCTATAATAACTATATTTTATCTGAGGATGTTTAAAGAAGGGCTAGCTACTAGAGTCTAGAAAATTCTTCAATATTGGAGAAAATTTTTCCAAGGATTGCATTTGCCAAAGGTAGGCTGTGTGTGTGTGTGTGTGTGTGTATTCTATTTAATATATTTCCTCTAATGTTTGAGTTTTATATAAACACATTTTGCCTAATCACACACATGAATACTTTTCCCTGGTTAGTTTTGCAGCTTGGTTTGGACCTAAGCGTGGGGGTATGCAGATGTCCCTTATTCTGCTTCCACTGTCTAAATTTCATGAACAGAATGAAGTTTGAGGAAATTATGAGAGATTTTTAAGTAGTGCCTCTTATATTCGCCCATACAAACTAGACATACATCCTCACTGTTTAACATCTCCTGTCTTTACCTATAGATGTGATCTGAAGAATGTAGGAAAAAAGCATTCATTGGAACCTTCGTGGTGGTGAGTATTTTGTAGGCAGTTCAGTTGCTTCTGCTTTCATCTCCTCTTGCCCACTTAGACCTCCTAAAAACTAGTGCAAAGTTTTTTATCTTCTTCCTTTTCACTGAACACATACAAAAGTAGCTTTGGGGTCTTTAGGACATGTAGAGCTCTTTTACCACCTGTGAAAGCTGGTGGTCCCTATAAACTTTCTACGGTAAAGAACTTAGTAGTGACATTTGATGTAAAGCACATTATTCTGCTTCCTCAGGGTGGAATGCATGAAAAACACTCTTGGCTAACTTTTTAGAAAGTAAAAGCTGGGTTTCATAATAGTTACATTACTCTTATCACAATTAGAACTGTTTTGATACAAATAAAGGGAAAATCAGTTCTATCAGGATTGCTGACAATTTGCAAATATAAATTATATGGTTTTTATGTTCATGTATTTTTACTATGAATAGGAAAAGATTATGTGTTTTGGGGGTAACTGTTCTTTTATAGGAAGATATATGGTTATTTATATTACAGATAGATCTGCTTTGGAAAACTACATGTGCCACATGAAGAATACATTAGTAGAAATTGACTTCTGTGTTAAATGAGTCTTTAAAAAGTTTCCTCTCCCCATTCCTTCCTAAAGAAAGCAAACAGCTTGGTAATGAACACAGTAGGAAGAAATTAAAGTTGTACATAAACTGTGCTCTCAGTGAATTGTTTATTTTGTTACTTAAATTCTTTGTGATATTTAAAATGTAGGAGAGGGGGAAGAATGGTTACTGCTTTTTCCTTGAAATGAACTGGGCTTTTAGAATCTTTCTCTGATTTCTTTCCTCATTATTCTAGTTTTCCTGAGCTTTTCATGGCTTGTGAAAGTGCTACTCTGAAAAGCTCAAATGACATCTCTGCAGAAGCAACCAGTCGACTTTTTCAGTGACTCCCCATAGGAAGTGCAGTGTTTAATGTTCTGATGTGGCATAATGCCTTTACTGAGGTAAATGTAGACAGTGGTGTCTTGGGTTTAGGCAGTTGACTTTTTAACTCATCACTTTTACTTACAGAAAGAATCTCAGACATGCACTTAAAAGAAAAAAGAAAAGAGAGACTTTATGGAGATCTTACCCGTTACAGTGAAACATGACAGTGCACTATAAGATGCATCAACATTAAGTCAGAGTACAGCTCAGCATCACAACATTATTCCATCTCTCCATCAAGGGGCTTTCTTGAGAAATATGAAAAAAATTATTGTACTTAAAAGTTAGAACCCTTCAGCATAAATTACAGAACCCCTCAGGAATGAAATAGGTAGTCACAGTTATAGACTGGATTGCATGAAAAGTTTATATCATAATCATATATTTGAGTATGTACGGCTCACAAACAGCAATTCCTCATTGTAGAATTGCGTAAAGAAAATGTTTTCAGTGTCTCTGTATCAAAACTTTCACCATTTCTGGATAAGTTTGGGTATATTTGTGTATGTCTGTGCTACTAACCAAAATCTGCCATCCTGTTTTGGAAAGGGGTATACATTAGTGGTTTTGTGTGCTGTGAGGTGATACAGTCTCTGACTGGAAGTCATTTACTGCACAGGTTCCATCCATCACTATTTCCTCCCAGGCAGTCATTAGGTGAGTAGAAACTCCATCTCTCAGTGTAATCATCAACTCATCAACCTACTCAAAGCCACCCACCTATGGAGGCAACCAATTAATTATCAGCAGAGCCAAGAGCTGTCCAAATACTAGATTTCCTGGGTTTTGTGTTATGTTCTCAATTCCATCCTCTACTGCAGGCCTTGCCTGCTCCTGGCACTCCTTTTTTCCAACTTAACATCTTAAAATAGAATGTGTCTTCAAATCAGTGTGCACATATTTAATGTGCTCAGATATCCCTCCTCTACATCTCAAAGAAACTGTTAATAAACTCATAGTGTGTACAGAATTGAGGAATTATGGCATTATTTAGACAGTGCTGGAAGGAGGAAAATGAAGAATGTTTAATCTTTACTGAGATTTCTTAGGACAGGTGGTCAATCGCTTGTTTAATTTTGATTATTTAATTTAATTTCCTATGAATTCTTTCTTCTTCAGTTCCTCAAAAACTATGGAAATCCTGGGCCTAAAGATTCAGCTCTTAACGGTGTTTGCTCAAACTATTGTCAGGTTTTTTTCATTCCTTTCCCACCACTCTTTTACACTGTTTTTTTCTTTCCAACAACCAAACCATGGGAGGGAGTACTGCCTGGCAAATGGGGCTCATTAATTATAAGAACTGTAGGGTTGATGTGGTCTAGGGAAAGTATACCTCACATAAGGTAGCTTATGTGAGGATTAGGAACAATATCAAGTTTTATATCGGGGGAGGTATGACGCGCGCGTGTGTGTGTGTGTGTGTGTGTGTGTGTAATAGAGCAAGAAAAGGAATAGAAAGCTTGAATTACACAGTTAAGAATTGGCTTTGTAAAACCTGACCAGTCCTGTCGTAAAACCTGCTCTTGTCTTCCATGTACATGTTGACCTTTTAGCTGTAAATTCCCTTGCTTGGGTCATGAATAAAGGCATTCACACTTTAGAAATCCTTTTGCCAGAGTTCATGCTCAATTCTTCTCTGCTTTTAATTCTCATTGTAATCAATTTTTTAAGTCGAAGGTATCCTGTGTTTCCTTCCATAGCCTCTAAGAGTAGGAAGTAAATTCTTACTGATCCTTTCACACATACTGAGGATCTAGTAAAGTTTTATTTTTAATGCTCAAGGAGTCAGGAAGTTTGACCTACTTTACTTTTCCTCCAGTTTTTTTCTTTTACTCAAGGTAATGAAACTACTGCCCAGTCTGTGGGCGGTTTCACTGATTATAGTCAGACAAGAATGATCAAGTTTGATTTTTGAGAATTGTTTTACGTGATCACTAATTTCTCATGAGACATTTATAATTGCATTAAGTTTGTGCTTGTTCATCAAAAAAAGTATTTAAAATACACAGTAATATTCTCCTTTGACAAGAAGTTTCAAATAATTGCTACTTAATGTTTTCTCCTACTACTTTGCCTTAGCGCAGAACTTTGGGAAGGTAGGACAATCTGTAGTTTTTGCCTGGTCCATAAGATTAAACTATAGGAAGAATATGGGATACAGATAAGTTTGTGATCTAAAATTAAGATTTAAATTTTCTATTTAAAATTGATTTGTCTTGAGTATCAAAAATGTTTAATCAAAGAATGGATTGCAAAGCCAGATATAATTGAGTTTGTATTTTAGCCCTGCCACTTGCTATCTGTGCAACCCTGAGCAAGTGACTTAAATTCCTTCAGTCTCAGTTTATCATCTATAAACTAAAGGTGATTACAGACTATGTCACAGGGTGATTGTCAGAGTAGAGAAAATATACATGGAAGTCCTAGCATAGTGTTTGACAGATGGTTAGTCTTATGCTTGAAAAATAGCTGGTGCTCATTAAATGTTAGTTTCCTTTCTCTCCTTTGAGGAGTGTACAGTTTAGGGGGAGCTGCTGCCATAAATGCTAGTGGTAGAAATAGCCAGAATAGTACACATAATAGTTTTACTATCAGCGATGATGGTGTTGCATCAGCTGCCACACAGTAACACAAGCAATAACACCAGAAGTAATGGTATGGAGTGTTTATTTCACCATTGACATTTACTTTGTCATTTAATCTTTACAGGAATTCCATGAAAAGCTTTTGTTTCTCTACTGTACAAAGAGACAAACAGTAGTGTACCAGGCTGAGCTCCTGCTGGCCCTCAGGAGAGCAGAACTGCACATGTTTCCTTACCTCCTTGTGACTGGAGGTGGTATATTTACACCCGTAGGTATTGACAGTGCTCCCTACCTAGTAGAATGATGAGCTGGGATTGTTTCTCAGGAGTGACTTCAAGGCATGTGCTCAGCACATGACTGACTGAAGCACAGGTCTGTTGTGATAAGGGTCACAGGCCTCTAACACAAAATTCTTGGTCAGGTCAGAAGAGGGAGTCATGGTTTATGATAGAGTGTGTTCTGAGTGGTAGGAGGACATTCCACTTGAAAGAAAAATGCAGATATAGAGGTGCAGATGCCAGATATCAAGGGTCTGTTTGGAAGGAGAATAATTTCCTTAGAGAACAGGATCTATATAGGTCAGCAGTGAGACACAAGGCAGGTAATATGGGCAAAAACTATTAGCTAGAAGCTTTGGATATTGGATTGAAATGCTTGGAACATTCCTAGTAGTCCACAGTTAGCAGCTGAAAGTTTTTGAGCATGCCAAAGTCAGTGATCAAATCTCTGTAAAATAGGGATATTGGAGAGGAGGTGAGAAAATCAGATGAGAGTCCAGGAAAAGCTGTTAAGGATAACTTCACCACGGGTTCAGAGAAGGGAAGAATTGGTGGGATGTTTGAAACATGGAGGAGGGAGAACTCCTGGGCTCACCACTTGACTGGTTATGAAGGATAATGGGTATGGGAAGGATGAAACAGTTATAACTTAAAAGTTCTGTGCTTGAGCTGTGGCAGGAAGTTGGGAGGAGGCCTAGTTAGAGGCAAGGTGATAAATTTGGATTTAGATTTAGGGATAAAAATTCATAGTTTTGTGCCTGAATATTTAAAGAGGTAAGAATTTTCCCTGTCTTTCTAGTGTACAATTCCCTTTGGCATAACGAATGTGAGTTCCTCTCACCTATGTCTTATTGAGACACTGCCATGAATCTAGCTCACTGATCTGGCTGTACCTGTGCTGTACCTGCACTTAGTGGCTTCCCTGTGGTTAACTGGGTGAAGTTCACCCTCAGCTTCAGGTTATTTGGGGATTTTTTTGTTTATCAGTTCTCCATTGCTATTCCTTTTACAAATCCTCACTCATGGAAAGCAGTGGATGTTTTAGCTTTCATTCTTCTCATGGGTCTGTTCAAGGAGAAGGGAAGTTTGCTTACTTCTTAGCAAAACAAAATAAATATCTCTTTGATATTTATTATTCATCTTATTGTAGGAAAAGAAAACCTGTCTTCTTAGTACAT